TGAAGTCAAAGAGTTCTTCATTTTATTTTATTTTGACAAAGTTACATAGGAATGGAACTTGAGACATTAGGCGGAAACCAGCATCTATCGTCTTGACCCAAGCTTGACAAGATTGCATAAGAGCTCTTTACTTTTTCAGTTTTAAGTTTTGCCTATGTGGATCATGGCTTTAAAAGGAAAGTGTCGTATCCAATTTGACAGAAGAAAATTAGATCAAGATGCTAAGTTTCTAGCCCCTATCACTTCGGGAAAGCAAGCGCCCGCCCTCTCAAAGTTTCAAGTAACTAGGAAATCCATACAAGACCAAGCAAATGATTATCTTAGCAAAGACCCAAAGACAAAATGGTGAGGAAGGTCAAGGGTTTGTCCCAAAACTTTCGGAAAGAGGCTGAGGTCGTGATGGTAACACCCCCATACCTTAGTCATCATGTTGTAGTTTTAATTTCTATATTTAACACCAACACATTAACACCTTCAAAAAAATCCTACCTCCTAATCTATTTGAAAAAACAGATAAAGCCTCAATTACCCAAAAAAAAAAAAAAAGTTTCATGCCAAAACCCATGACAAGCTAAAAAAAATAAAATAAAATTTTAGTTAGACTTACGGTGAATGCCATTAGATGCAAACCACCAATCCTAGTACAGGCTTTAGGCAAGACAATATCAAGCAAATAACCAATTTATTTATTGAATATATGATATTCATGTGAGTGATAGACCCAAAAGTATTTAGAAAAGTTTCAAATCCATACCAATTAACAGATAATATTTGAAAAATATATATAAAAAGACAAAAAAAAATCCTCATTTTTTATACACACAACAAATTTTACAGGTAGGTTAAATGTTTGCAATTTTTTAGTCATTTTGTGCTTTGAGAGAATGTTGTCTCCTTCAAAAACATCATGCGACTGATCGCATGGAGAGTGTGGTTGGCATAAGGTGAAATTGACAAGGATATACCTTGTATCAAATTGACAAAGATATAAGGAATAATCTACGACTTAAAACACATTCAATTACAAAGGTTAATATTAAAGTGAGTTGTGAATGGTAGATTTAATAACTATACAGTCTCTTTTTTTAAAATCGTTATTTTTTTGTAATCTCTTCCTCATCAAGTAAAGGTGATGGTATAAATATCACAAAAAAACTGGGGGTACTTTTGTCATCTTTATAAGGGATAAAGTTGAAATTTTTCTTAAAAATATAAAGTTACTCCATAAAAAAAATTTCAGGACACTAGCTTCTAAAATATTATTATCTTTTTGTAAAAATATCAAATTTGTCTTTACTTAATAAGTAAGTTACATAGTAAAATAAATTTTTAAAGAAAAATATTTATTTTTAATAAATTTACTCATCACAATTCATTCTAATATGGAAAATAGTTTGATAGGGCTGCAGCCCTATCAAAGTAACTAAAGCCTCCCTTGTGTAATTCATCCAAAATTACAATTCAGTCATTGGAAAATCTTCACATTGATCATCTCGACTTGAACATTATGGTTCTAAAAAAAAAATTAAGATTTCAAGCTTTAAAAAAGTGTATATTGTAATAAATTATGTAGACCGTACATTTCGTCGTAAAAATAAGTGTTTTTAGATCCATAAGATCTGTAATATTTTTTTAGTTTCAAAATTTGTTGTTGGTGTTAGAAATTGATTTTAGAGCTACTATGGATACTTCTTAACCAAAAGTGCTTTTTGGGAGAATTTGAAATGAGGCTTTATTTTGTTTCCATATTTCCTACGCCTTCTAGAAACCTCATCCTTCTAATATTAATCATTATATTTGAGGGGGTTGTTAACTCTGAATATTTATAAGTTCTTTTCAAAAAAACTAGATCTGTCTTTATTTGAACATCTTGTATTTTACATTTGAATCAATGATAATAACCGTTTAAAAAAAAAAGAAAGAGGAAAGAAGATGAAGTAAGTGAGGGGGTTGTTATCTCTAAACAAACCCACGATATAATGACTAGAAGCATTTCCCTAATCTCAATTCCAAGTAACATCGATTTTACAGTTCTTCCGAAAATGCCCCTTCCATTACTCCCTCGTAACTCGCACTCTTGTGATTCTGCCCCAAGCTTCTCCCCTCTACATTAAAGACAAACACACACTCTCTCTCTCTAAACATACACCATCTCTCTCACACTCTCTCTCTAAACATACACCATCTCTCTCTAAACACACACCATCTCTCTCTAAACACACATCCTCTCTCACACACACCCTCTCTAAGCACACACCATCTCTCTCTAAACATACACCAACTCTCACACACTCTCTCTAACCACACACCATCTCTCTCTAACCACACACCATCTCTCTCTCTCTCTCTAAACACACATCATCTCTCATACACCCACACTATCTCTCTAAGAACACACGATCTCTCTCTCACACTCTCTAAACATACACCATCTCTCACACACTCTCTCTCTAAACACACACCATCTCTCTCTCTAAAGACAAACACCAACTCTCTCTCTCTAAAGACAAACACCAACTCTCTCTCCACTGTATTTAAGACAGACACCATCTCTATTTCTCTCTCTCTTCCCCCAAAGACAAACACCATCTCTCTCTCCACTATATTTAAGACAAACACCATCTCTCTCTCTCCAACTTGTATTACAGCTTCACGAATGACTCCCCAAAGACCTTTACATCATTCATACATTTTCTCTAAAGCCCCTCAATCGATTTGGCTGGTACAAAAAAAAACCGGAAAATACCCTAAAAACGCTGCTTGTAGTGAAACAATGTGGGAAATTATGACTCAGCCACGGTACTCAGCCTCCGGAGCCGAGTAGCTTGGATTGAGGGAGTTATTCGGAGGCCGAGTAACTCAGACTCAGCGAGTTACTCGGTTTGAGTTGAGTCAAGCCGAATCCGACCAAGCCAAAAAGTGTCAAAGAATACATTTATAATTTTTTTTCCAAAAATAGGAAGAATATGTTTAAAGTAAAATTAAACAAAGCACATCTTAAAGAGGTTAACAAGGTAATGAGAAAATGGATTTTGAAGAAACCAATTTTATGATAGGGATATTGTGGAAATAATTCAAAACGAAAGAAAAATATAAAAATAAGTATTCATGGTCAAAACACATTCCAATATTTACTAAAATGATAAAAACCATAAAAAAATATATTACAAATAAATTTCCTATATTTAAAATTTTTAAATTTTATTTTTTTAAGATCCTCGAATTTGAGCACCCAACTTAGAGATACCCTGGCCAGTCCGAGTTTATTCGCATGAGTTTTCCCATGGTGGTTGGAAAATTGAAAATGAATTAATGGGGGATTATGGCTGGTTGGAAAATTGAAAATGAATTAATGGAAAATTATGGCTATGGAAATGGAGGGAAGAAATAAAAAAAAATAGGGGAGAAATAAAAAAATAAGCATAAAAAAGGATGTCTTTATTCATGCATGTGAAGAGGGGCAGATTTTATCATGAAACACATCCCACGATTTTATCAAATTTCCACAAGTCAAAAAGGAGGGTCCTTTGGAAATTATTGACAAAAACCGAGGGTAATTGGTGGAAATTCTTATTGGTCTGAGAAAAGAATGTCACAGGAAGTGTTGTGCATGTTGACACAGAGATTTGTTCCTTTCCGGGGAGGATTTGAGGTGGTTCCTTCTTCCCATGCAAACAATCAATGATTTACAGTGAATACCCAACGGCCTCACCGCTTTTGAATTTACATAGAGAGAGAGAGAGCATGTGTGTGTTAAAAATAAAGAGAAGCAACCAAATGTGTGTGGGTGTGGGTGTGGGTGTGGGTGTGTATGTGTATGTGTGGGTGGGTGTTTTAAAAATACAGAGAAGCAAATAAATGTGTGTGTGTGTTTGTTAAAAATATTGAGAAGCAACCAAATGTGTGTGTGTGAGAGAAAATGTTTGTGTTAAAGAGAGTCGAGCAAATGTGTCTAGTGTTTGCGTGAGAAAGAGAGAGAGAGACTAGACAGAGTCAAGCAAATGTGTGTGTGTGTATGCGTGTGTGAGAGGGAGAGTGAGGGAAAGAGAGAGAGAAGCACATGTTTTTGTTAGAGAGAACCGAGGAAATGTGTGTGTTTGTGTGTTTTGAAATATATGGAAGCAACCGAATGTGTGTGTGAGTATGTATGTGTGTGTGTCTATTTATTAAAAATATAGAGATCAACTAGATGTGTATGTGTGTGTGAGTGTGAGAGAGAGAGAGGCAAATGTTTATGTTAGAGAGATTCGAGCAAATGTGTCTAGTGTTTGTGTGTGTGTATGGGAGAAAGAGAGAAAGGGGCACATGTTTATGTTAGAGAGATTCGAGCAAATGTGTCTAGTGTTTGTGTGTGTGTATGTGAGAGAGAGAAAGGGGCAAATGTTTGTGTTAGAGAGTGTCAAGCAAATGTTCTAGTGTTTGTGTGTGTGTGAGAGCGAGAAGCACATGTTTGTGTTAGAGAGTGCCAAGAAAACGTGTCTAGTGTGTGTGAGAGAGAGAACCAAATGTTTGTGTTAGAGAGAGTCAAGCAAATGTGTCGAATGTTTGTGTGTGTGTGAGAGAGAGAGAGGACAAGTCAAAAAGTAGAGAAAATTAATAGAAAGTTAGAAAAGAACTATTAGAGAGAGCAAGCAAAGAGAAAAGAAGAAGGAAATTTAATGCCATTTCTCACGGGTTGCTCTCCTCTATAAACCAACACGCACCATCCCTCTCTTCATGCACTCAACCCATTAGCCTACACTCATTTCTCACAGTCATGAACTCCACTCTAAAGGGGTTCTCCATTAGAATAGTGGTTTTTATCTCCCTAATAGGCGGTTTTAGTTGCAGGAATTTAGAAGAGAAGAAGGGCATTGACCTAAAGAATCCTACACTTTTCTTTGACTCCCCCCCAGCTGGTTTTGGCTGGTTTGACGGTTTTCAAAAGCCAGGGTGGTTTGGTGAGAAGGGCCATAGCTTCAGCCATTCATTTAGTCATGGCAATGGACGTGGTTTTTCTTTTAGTAGTGGAAAGCCAGATGGTGGGCATAAAGGAAAGACAGGGAATTTAGGGAAAGACTGTATCGGGAAAAGCCCCCACCACCATCACCACGGTGGTGGAGGTAAGAAAGGTGGTGGAATTGGGGGAGGTCATGGAGGAACTGGCGGTGGTGGGGGAATTGGTGGAGGTGGTGGTGGCGGTCATGGAGGAATTGGAGGTGGAGTTGGTGGCGGTGGTGGAATTGGTGGAGGAATAGGAGGTGGTGGTGGAATTGGTGGAGGAATAGGAGGTGGTGGTGGTGGTGGTGGAATTGGAGGAGGTCATGGAGGAATTGGAGGTGGTATTGGGGGTGGTGGTGGAGTTGGGGGAGGAAGCGGCGGTGGTGGTGGAGTTGGAGGAGGAAGCGGCGGTGGTGGAGTTGGTGGAGGAATTGGGGGTGGTGGTGGTGGTGGAGTTGGTGGAGGAATTGGCGGAGGTCATGGTGGACTTGGTGGTGGTAGTGGTGCTGGTGGCGGAGTTGGTGGAGGAATTGGCGGAGGTCATGGTGGACTTGGTGGTGGTGGTGGTGGTGTTGGTGGCGGAGTTGGCGGTGGTGGTGGAATTGGAGGTGGAGGAGGTGGTGGTGGAGGAATTGGTGGTGGTGCCGGTGCCGGTGCTGGCGGAGGAATTGGTGGTGGAGTTGGCAATGGTGGTGGAATTGGAGGTGGAGTAGGTGGTCGTGGTGGTGGTGGAATTGGAGGTGGAGTAGGTGGTGGTGGTGGAATTGGAGGTGGAGTAGGTGGTGGTGGTGGTGGTGGACTTGGTGGTGGTGCGGGTGCTGGTGGAGGAATTGGTGGTGATGCTGGTGGAGGGATTGGTGGTGGTGGTGGACTTGGTGGTGGTGCGGGTGCTGGTGGAGGAATTGGTGGTGGTGGTGGAGCTGGAGTTGGAGGAGGAATTGGCGGGGGTGCAGGTGGTGGTGGAGGAGGAATTGGTGGTGGTGCTGGAGGTGGAGTTGGAGGAGGAATTGGTGGTGGGGCCGGAGTTGGAGGAGGAATTGGTGGAGGTGCTAGAGTCGGCGGTGGTGGAGTTGGTGCCGGAATTGGCGGAGGTGTTGGAGTTGGTGCTGGAATTGGTGGTGGCGGTGGTCTTGGAGGAGGTGCTGGTGGTGGTGGGGGACTTGGTGGTGGTAGTGGAGGGGGAATTGGCGGAGGTGGAGGTGGAGGTGGAGGTGGTGGTGGTGGTGGTGTTGGCGGTGGAAGTGGACTTGGAGTAGGACTTGGTGCTGGTGCTGGTGTTGGTGGCCGCGGTGGAGGAGCCGGTGGTGGACTTGGCGGAGGAGCTGGTGGTGGAGGTGGTGGAATTGGTGCTGGAGTTGGAATTGGAGCTGGAGTTGGTGGAGGAATTGGTGGTGGTGGTGGTGGAATCATTAATGTTGGGAATTGAGAATTTGATTAGAGAATCCCTTGGAGCAAGGGAATGCGTGTTCTCTCTCTTCCATCTTCGAAGTGTGTTATTCCTACATAATATACTAACTACTAGTCTTTGAACTTTGAAGTGAGAATAGTCTCCTTGGTAATTGGTATTAGTTGCATTTCTCATTTATAGCTTTGGTTGTGAACTTGAAATAGTAATGTTGAGATATTGACACCAGATTATCGATCTCTCTCTTTCAACTAAATAAAGAAATAAGAAAACATAAAAAATTAATATAAATAAAGTGGTAAAAGATATTATGTAAATAGATTAGGAAATAAGGGTTATGTAGGAAGAGTTGATGTGAAATTGGCAAGAAAATGATAAAAAAATTAGAGTAAATTACATATAAATCTTAAATAATTACTTAAAATACGAAATGATCTGATTATAGGCAGAACTTGTAAAGAATATCAATCAACATTTTGTATTTTTCCTAAAATGGTATGAAGATTCCATCTTCATTAGTAGGGCAATGCCCAGACGGTCAAAAGTTATAATCCTTAGACCGCCCTAAGAACACAGCAAAACCCTAATAGAGCGGTCTGTGATCCCCATCTTCAAACCGTTGTTTATCTCAAAAAATAAGGAATAAAGCGCAGTTCGAGGATGAGGACCTCGGACTACCTTGGAACTAAGTTCTCTCAGCCCAGAGTGCAATCCTAGGTCTTCATCCTCGGATCACTCTCTCTTTCTTATTTTTCGAGAAAAACATCGGTATGAGGTCATCATCCTCAGACCAAGCTACTTCGGACTACTCCGGAATTGAGGCCTGCTCAGTCCATAAGGCGGTATGAGGATTCTAACCTTAGACTACCTGGGCACTGCCTTTAAAGCCTAGGGAACTGGATGGCATCCTCGGACTAAGGCCAATTTTGAAAAAAATAAAAAAATGAAAAACACAGGGTGACCGACATTCTGCATAATTTCCCCCAAAATTGACTCATTTTCGTAGTTTATGTAAAGTTCTCCATACGTAAATCACTCAAAAAAATATGTTTGTAGCCAGGTACTTCAACCACCTCATCTCTCTATCTCTCTCTGGGAGAGTTACGAAATATTTTTTAGTGATATGTTGTTTTAAGTCTCTCTTTGTGTGTTTGTAACACAATTTTTTGTTTGTATCTCAGTTTTTTGTATTGTTAAAACAAGTGTTTAAAAATCGAAATTGGAACGGTTAATTGGACATGGGCCAGAAGTGGTGAAATCAGAACTGAGCTAACTGAGCGGTAAACCGGTCCTCTTTGGTCCGGTAAATTTTTTTAAACAAATAGGTCAAAACCCCCAAAAATTTTTTTTTTAAAAAAAGCGAAATTATACAAATTAAGTATATACTACTTTATTACCATCTATTTTAAAAACTTTAAATTCAGAATTTTATTTAATCAAATAACAATAGATTAGTAATAGATAGCTTATTTATAATTTTATTCATATGAAAGAACTATATTATGCACTTTTAAAAAAAAAAAAGAGGAAAAACAAAAATTATTTCAAGGATTAAAAACACAATAGGTACATGGGAATTATTATCTTTTAATTAGTATAACAGGCAAATATTATCTACTAATTCAAATGTTCTATTTGCATTATTCTAGGATTTTCTATTTTCATCTAAGCCACCCATCAAGGAGATATGCTATTACAAAAATAGGAGAAAAATACAGGAAAATCAAAGATAAACAAATTGTATCATTCATCATGAAGAAAAAAGGGAACACGGTGGATTATAAAAAAATAAAAATAACAAACAAAAACATATACACATGCATTCAAGTCTAAATGTTATAAAAATAAAAATAACAAACAAAAACATATACACATGCATTCAAGTCTAAATGTTATAAAAATAAAAATAAAAAGAGATAAAAATAATTGTAATATATATATATATATATGAGAAATGATCATATAGGACCCTCTCCCACCCATGTGTGTAAGACCCCAAAGGATCACCATTAAATACGACACAGGTCTTTAGAAAAGTCAAGTCTCACATCCATGTGACTTGACTTTTTTAGGGATATGTGTCGTATTTAATGGTGATCCTTTAGGATCCTACTCACAGGGGTGTGGGAGGGTTTCATAGGATCATTAATATAACATTGAAAGAAAAAATAAGTTTTATTAAGCAAAATAGTTTTTTGTTTTAAAAAACAATATAACATTATAATAAAAAAAGAAGATAATTAAAAACATTAAAAAATAGACACAGGTTTTACTAAGAAAAATAAATTTTTTTAGAAAAATGGATTTATCAAAAACTCCTAAAATCAAGAACATGCATTGTAAATGTTGCGATTCTCAATCTTTTGATAATTGAACAAATCAACTCACATGCATTGTAAAGGCTTTTATCATCTCTCCAACGCACCAAATTTCATAAAAAAACGATTCAATATTGAAGATTTAATCGAAAAAAATGGCAAATATTATCTACCAAATGCCCAAAATTTCATAAAAAATGATTTGGTAATGAAGATTTAATTGAAGAAATTGCAGAAATTTCAAAAATTGTGAAAAAAAGAAGCTATTTCAATAGACTAAAACTCTGTTTTTATGGATCCTTCGTTCCAAAATCATTGTTTTATGGTCAAAATATAATGATTTACATATAATAAATAAAAAAAGCACTAAAAAATGTCAAAACATGACAGAAAACATGAATAAAAAAAGCAAAACAAAAGAAAAGTGATTCAAGGGTTTAAGCTGCAAATAATGACCTTTGTTTAAACTAACGGTCTATGTTGTAAAACAACCGTTATAACGTCAAAAACGTTTTTATAAAAAATCGGTCAAGTTAGCTAGAAAACCGCTAGGTTAGTTATAAAACTGGTTAGTTTGTGTCTATTTTGGCCGATTTTCATCCAAATATTTTTTGAGGGTTGAGTATATCCTATTAGAACCCCAAAACCAAGACTAACGAGAGCCAGGAGGGTCACGATTCCGATAACCAACCGGATCCAATTTGAACGGGCCGTTTTTTCCTACACGATTCTTGCCCGTACATTTCACTTTATCAAATGAGGTTTGATCCTAAAGCTCGATAGTGATTGCTCTACAAGTGGGTGATTTGCCTAGGAGCTAAGATTTCTAGATTATTTTATCCTAGTGTAGATATGGGTATGATAATGGATTAGCGCTCAGTTTCTCTCTATGTTTCTCGATCTCAAGACGACAAGAGGCTTAATGAATATCAAACTGCAAGAGATTCATGATCAAGTCTTGGGGTATTTATAAAGTTTAGATCTAACAAAGGAGGAAAGTTAAATTTTTAGATCACCTTGGGGTGGAAAATTAACTTTCTGCCTCATTCTATGGAGGAATATCAATGTTTTGCCCAAGAGGGCTTTGGATCAATCTTGTACCTTCACTCTCTCATGTTGTTTTTGCCAGATTTTAATGGATTCATGGCCATTTCTCTCCATAAACTTGTGGAGAATTGGGTTGAAGTCATTTTGCCTCAAATTTCATCCAAAAAATCATATTTATGGAGTCTAAAGTTTTGTATCGACCAAAGGTCATTCTAACAATATTTCTTTTGAGTTACACTTGGTCTTCAATCCGCTCTTTAATCACGCAATAATCATGTAATGAGTTATATTAATATTTAGGGGATTGAGTGATAAACTATCCACAAATTTTCAGCTCAAATACTATGTAGTTCGGCAGAAATCTATCAGTAGGCTAATGGAGGTCATGCAGCCAGCAACCTGTTAGAACACAACATTATTTATAGTATAGCATAATGTAGGGTGTATAACCCACTCGGCCTCACCTATAGGGCAAGTCCGGGTGACTCACCTGAGTTAGATTTGACTCGAGCAAGTCGCAGAACATTTCTCTGGATGATAACTTTTTATCTTCAAGTTTTTGGGTTTTCAAACAACTAAAACTGGACTTTCGAAAAAAAAAAAGATGGACAGGCTATGAGCAATTCTAGGGAGCATTTTTTCATATGATTTTAGAGTGCATAATGAATTTTCATGTTGAGCTAGAGACATTTCTAAAATGGAAAAGTATATAATGAAGGGCATTGATTTCATGCAATGGTTGTATAGTAATATAATGCAATAACTTTCAAAAACTATATTAGGGCCATTTGTTTGATCTAAATTTCAAAATATAGACTCTTTTCATTCTAATGAACAATCACAAAAAAATATATATATTGAAAATGCAACTTAGAAAGTATTTTTTTAGCCCAATTAATATAGGCCATCCATTTTCTTAAAATGCTTAGATCTATACTTTAGAATGATCTTTTTCCTTTCTAAATTTTTTTGATAGGTTTATTATCATTAGATTAACAATATTAAAATAGAAAAAAAATGATTTTGAGTTCAGAAAGGCCTAGATCTTGAAATTCACCAATAGACGGTCTAGATTCATTGTTGGAGGGAATTCATTTTGGCCATATAAATAGTGCAAATTAGTTTTTTTTTATTTTTTTAGATTGATTATTGAGATGAAAAGAGTGTGTGTGCAAAATTTTGAGGCCATATAAATACCATAAATGTAGTTTTCTAGAAGTGTGGTTGCATCATACTATGATACAACTGTTGCATGAAATTATTGCTCTATAATGAGACTATTTATCTTTGGTACAAGATGGTCACAATTAATCTTGACCATTAGATGTGAAATTAAATTAGATAGCCACATTTATTCTATTGTCCAAGCTCAAACTTCGAAAGAAAAAATCTCAAATTTCTAAAATTTAGGATCCTTATACTTTGATATTTACTCCCATTGGAGCGTAAAATCTTTTCATCTCAAACTACACACTAGTAAACTAGTACAATAGTCTTTTAGAACCATCATAACAAAGAATCTACTAATGCTTTTTTTTTCTATGCTTCCCCTACAGCATAAAACTTATATGCTTCCCCTTAACCAGCCGTCCATTCTAAATGGAGGGCTAAGATTATTCCAATCACAATGTCATGTATCTATACTATTTTAAATTTTTTTTTTTTCTAAACTATTTTGACACCAAATTTTTTATGTCCAATCCTTTATTAAACTCGCACCAGAAAAAATAATAATAATAATAAAATAAAATAACCAAAATACCTCTGAAAGATTCAAAGGGTATTTTGGTTATTATATTTTATCAAAAATTC